GGCCCTGCAGGGATTTGGGTTTGAAAACAGGAGGGGCAAGATCTGACTTACCTTTAATAGGACCACTCAGGGCTGCCATGGGGATAACAGACTGTTAAAGGAACGGTGAACACAGAAGACTAGTTGTGAGGCTAATGCATCTCAAGACTATGTTGGCTTGATGGCAGTGAAGGTGGTGGGAAGTGATTAAGTCTGGATATATTCTGAAGTTAGGGCAACAAAATTGGCTGCTGGATTGGAAGGAGGATAGGGAATAAAAGAGGAGGAGATAAAGACTCCAAGGGTTTTGCTGATGAACTGGAAGGACATAATAGCCGTTAACTGAGATGGAGAAGACTGTGGGAGGAGTAAGTCTGGGAGAAAAGATCAGGACTTCAGTTTTAGACCAGTTAAATCTGAGTTACCTTTCCGATGACCAAATAGAGGTGTTGATTAGAAACAGGATGTGTGAGCCTGGAGTTCAGGGAGAGACACTGGCTAAAGAAACCTGTATTCCCTTGAATCTAAAGATGATTTAATGCTGGAACTTTCTTGATCTTTATCAGAAACTGTCAACAGACAGCTTCAAACAACACGGTGTTACTGACACATTGCTGACAGTGAGTGAGAGATGCTGACTGACTTTTGAACATGGCTTCTCTACCTTGACGGTATTTCGGGTCAGATAATCTTTGTTGTGGGGGCTGTCCTACTGTAGGATTTTAGCATCACCCCTGGCCTCTACTTACCGGACATCAGTATCACCCTTCTATCACTGACGATCAAAAATGTCTCCAGACATTTCTGAGTGTCTCCTGGGGGACAAAACAGGTTCTAGCTGAGAACCATGGTTTTAGAGGGATTAGGATGTAAGGGGGGTTAGTGTACCTTAAATAAAAGAGATGGGGATTAAAACTGGGGGGTTGTCAGTGTATAAGATGGCCAGAGGAGTAGACAGAAAGGCAGTCTGATGCCTGTACCCTGGGGCACTCCAAGATTAAGAGACTGTAGACAGAAGGAGACGGTGAATGGCCAGTGAGGCAGTTCTACTCCCTCCATAAATCCCACTAAAACAAAGAAAAAGGATTTTGTTGTTGCTTCTGTGTTAAAGACAAACTCATGAGAAGACATGACAAAAATCTAGAAGCTAGAAGCATCTGGTTGAGTGTACACAACTCAGCATGCCCCAGGAAAGCTGAATGCTAAGCCCAAACTGGAGAAAAGCAGAGAAGTACCCCAATTTACATTCTGTAACCTCAAAGCAGAAGCAGCCGAAGTGAAGGTGGGATGAAAAGCAGGACTGGCTGACAGCATATTTAAGAAAGCAGTTAATTCCCAGATCTCTCCTGCCACCAGCAGTGGTCTCAGGTTCAGACTGATATTCACTCATAGGACCAAGAGACCACAGCTTGGCGCCGGGTTCACTTAGTTCTGCAGAAAGACAATGTGCTAGCATGCGACATGCCATCTTCAGAAGGGACTGACACAACCCACCAGGGGCCTTAATGGACCCACCACTGTAAGAGAGAGAGATCATCTGAATAAGCACAGACATCACCGTGGCCTAGGGAAATCTCACACTCCACAGGAAGCAGTCGTGCATTTTGACAGCCAGTGTGTGGAGATTCCAGAGTCGCTGGAGGCTATGTTCACGCTCACTTAGAACAGTCACATATTGCACACCATGACCAAGTACAGTGTCTTCTCACAGGTTTCTACAGTTCACTCACAGTCTCCCTGGTCCATATGCAATCACCAGTCAGGGTCAATTTACAATAAACAATATTACTTGGATACATTCTATATTTATTAATTAAGTTTTTAGTAAAAGGATGCCAGGAAAAGGAAAATCCAAGGTTATTTCCCATGGGAAAAAAAAAGGCTCAGATCTGCTATTGTTAACCCTTTCTACTTAACACACTGATTCTCAAATGGGGGCAATTTTGCCTCCAGGGAATATGTACCAATGTCTGGAGACTTTATAATTTGAGGAATGTATGCAGTTATTATGGCAGGCTTCCCTCGTGGCTCAGAAGGTAAAGCATCCATCTGCCTGCAATGCGGGAGACCTGGGTTTGATCCTGGGGTGGGAAGATCCCCTGGAAGAGGGCGTGGCAACCCACTCCAGTATTCTCACCTGGAGAATGCCATGGACAGAGGAACCGGGCAGACTACAGTCCATGGGGTTGCAAAGAGTCGGACACAACTGGGCGACTAAGCACAGCGCAGCACATGCAGTTCTGACACCTGGCGAAGAGGTGCCAGGGACGCCGCTAAACATTCTACAAACGCACAGGACAGCTCCCTACAGCAAAGAATTATCTGGCCCAGAACGTCTATAGTGATGACGGGTGAGAAACCCTGACCTAGAACGATTAAATGGAAAGTCCTGTGGAGGACCATTCCATATCCCATGCCTTCTTTCCCAATGGGCTGTAAAGCCCTGACAACAAAGTACACGCCCTCCACGCAGGGGACTGGAAGAATCTTCCCTGGAGAAGCTTATCCACCTGGGAGAAGAAATGAATGATACTAGAATAAAGATTGCAAATGACAAAAAGGAATTTTAAGATGAAATTAACAAACACCAATTTTATTCAAACCAAGTAAAAGATTTAATCAGCTGGGAGAAAGTTTGGAGTTATTTCGAAATAGTAATAAACATACAAAAAATTATTTTAAATTTTAAAGAATTAATTCCAGGAAAAACAAAATGTAATGTCCCCAAAAGGAAATGTAATGTAAGTATATACAGTCTAGTAGTGAACTGCAAGTATACAGGTCATGATAATATATAATATAAACACTGAACAGTTACCCAACCAAAATAAATTGGGAGGAGAGGGGAGAAAAGAGGGGAACTGTGTCTACAGAGCGCTATATCCTAATTAGCTATATCTTCATTTTCCAGAATGAGAAGTCAGTAACACAAACAACTGAAAAAAAAAAAATCAAATACAGCAATATAACTGTAGATTTAATGATAGGTAAATATACACGAAGAATAAGCTAAAAGAGTAGAAAGCGCTTATCCCTGGGAGCAGAATACAGCATGCATGTATGCATGTGTAGCAGAGGTTTTTTTTTCTTTTGGTAACAAGTCTCTTTACAACTTTATGACTCTTTAACTTCATGCATGCAAAACTAAAGTAGTTTTTTAGAAACTGTATTTGAGTCTGGTGGCAATTTAATACATAGGTTTGGGATCTAGTAAGCCTCCTTCAGTTTTCTTGGCTTGAATCAGAACAGACTAGATCCGAAAAAAAAGTATACTGAAACAAGTTCCAGATTTGTTAAACCACTTTTCTACCCATCTTGGCACGGCAAAAAAACAGGCTGATGGAAGAGACTTTAACTCCTTTCCTTGTTTTTTCCTGGCTTACTCACGAAACTTTACATTAAGGTCTTATCTTAAAATATTATATCATTGTACACTGGCATCCTCGCCCATGGATGTCACTAGATACCATGTGAAGTGTTTGCTAGGAGACTTCACTTTTTACTTTATTTGCTCTTCAACTGTTACTTATAATGAGTGTTCTTTTTCTGAGGGAACTTTTATAATGAATGTATCTTACAGATGCAAACACATACACCAAGATTCTTAATTAGTGCATAACCTGTCCTCATGCCTCTTGACCCAACTCAATATGATTGAAAAGAACATATAAAACACAGAATAAACAAGAAAGCATATCTCTAATAAAATATTACTCATATCCCAACAGGTAAGTCTAAAAGATGTAAGTGATACATGCTAAGGAGCTGGTGCTAAAGATAATGCCCAGGTTTCACAATGGAGAAAGCAGTTTTCTACAGAATACAAACCATTTGGGAAAGTTTCATTAAATAAACAAAGTTTATTCTTTGATATAACTTGTTAACTTCCTTTACAAGCAACAAAACTCAAATTTATCTTTAAATTACCATGATTCATGCTTCTTTTGTGCTCTCCAATGCCCAGAGTGAAGCCAGGTACATGAGTGGGTACCAAGAGTTACTGACTGATAGAAATTGACCAACTAAATTAAACCAATGTAACAGATACAAACTTAGAATTCTCTGTAAGTCCTTAAACAATGTTTTGTAAGATTTTAACTTAGTACTGATTAATACAAATTATTTTACTCTATTAGAAGAGCACTGTAGTTATAAACTGAACAGAAGGCTGGTTTTATTCTGCCCCGTCCATTTTCTTTTTTCTTGCTACTACCTTATAACAAAATAGCTTTCACCTTCATGAACAAAACTCAATTTTAAAAATTCTCCTTTATCAAGCTCAGCTTTTGCTAAACTTATTTCATCCCAAATCCATTCCTTATCCTCACCTCCATCATATCAGAAAAACTTCATCTTTTAAAATCTGTTCATGTCTATTATATCACTTTTGACACTCTGAACCACAGTATGAAGAAGACAGACTATGTACTATTAGTTTGACTTTTCTTATGAGAAATTGAGGTTCACAAAGATTGAATAACTCATTTAGGACCAGTGGGTAGTGAGACACTTGGAACCAAGTTTTCTGATTCCAAGTCCAGTGGTTCTTTCCATCACACTACATCAACTTTTTGCTACTAAAATGGAGTAAACGCTGAGAACTTATAATCTAGGAGAACTATAATGGGGATATGAGCCATTTTTTCAAGTGGCCATTTTATAATAAACATATTAAAAAGCAATTATCAGCTTAATAGCCATCTTAACTTAGTAAAATATCAAATATAAATCACATTTCAAGCTTTTTAACCATATGATACAACTGACATTAACATAAAGACTTCAAATAGTCATAAGACTAAAACCGAAGAAACTAAATTTTTTCTTAATCATCTCTGTGACACTGCTGTATCTGGTAATACATTTTTTCTATAGTCTGATTTTAAAACTTAGCTCAGAGGTATTTCTGATAAATTTTAAGTGTAGGAAAAAAAACGAGAAAACTTAATAGAACAAGATTGAAAAAATACCATTGCCTTCTTAATACTGAAATAATAGGGAAGAAAGTTTCATCCACTTACCTCAGTAATTGGCTGCCCCTGATGTGTCAAATCCAGTTCTTGAGGGCGTGCTACTTTATCAATATCCAAAGAGTCCATGCTGGAGGTTGCAGAAGTGATGCTTGAACGAGAGGAGTTACTAATGGAGCGTACTTCAGCATCGCTCACTGTGCCCGCCGACGCTGTCCTCCTGTGCTGACTAGTTACTAAGGGTTTAGTATCTTCTAGTACAGACTGCTGGGCAGCCTCATCCATGCTCAAGGAGGCCTGTTCTAACTGTGCGGTGATGTCATCCAGGGAGTAGTTGGCATGAGATGGTTTAGTTATCCTATTGGACGAAGAAGACAGTCCTTTCAAGGTGCCATGTTTTGATGTATGTCGGCTAGCGGGTAATTTCTGAGTGGCCTTTGTTTCTGTGATTTGACGCTTAGTATTTCCAGCACCGATACTGCTGAGCTCCTGCTCTATTGAGCAAAGATCAGCCATTAGGGCATCCAGATCCACAGTTTCTCCCTGATTCAGAGCTTCTGCAATGTTTCCAGAACACAATGAATTAGAATTTACACATTCTATTATAAATCAGTCAACAAATGCAAGAGGAAAAGCAAAAAAAAAAAAAAAATCACCCTATTGGGCATAAAGCCTATCAAATACCACAGTTCTAACAGGTTTTTGTTCATTTTAAACTCCAAGAGAAAATTTCAGAAGCAAAGAGCCCATCTTTTAAGATTTGTGGTAATCAAAAGAATAAAATTATGAGTTGAAAGATTAAAAAAATAGAAAAATTTTATACTGTTCTATTAACCACATCCCTCATGCAATTTTTCACCAGAGGCTCTACGTGTTAACATGACCATACCCTGGCAGAGCTGTCAATACCTAAAGATCAGAGGGCATAAAAAGAAAAATTTAAGACCTAAAAAATTTACAGACTGAAATGTCAGCTCCACTAGCTATAGTTCATTAAATAAAGGTCAGAAGGGCTGACTTTTTAATTAATAACAAGTAATTTCACTGGACTTTATCCCACTGCAAATATAATAACACAATTAAGTTTGTTGTAGGATTCCATGTGAGGATATACTTTGCCAATTACTAACAACTAGGTAACTATTTTAGTTATATTCCAGTTAGTTTTTTCTCTGATCATCTGAATTAGTAATAAAATGCACAAATCAAGAAATATTTGACTCAGTTGTTATGCATATATAGTTTTTATATTGAGCTATTTGGAATTGTTGCTGTATTATTTCCACATTATATAACTTAACATACTATTTTACATTTCATTTTCAATTACATCTTACCATTCAAGTTGTATATGGAGAAGCGATAAGAAAAATTGGCCATGTTTGTTTCCTGGCGAAGAGGAGATCTTTTTACTGGTTCCGTGGGCTTGTCAGAATCCAAACTCTTTTTAAAAAGAAAGTTTAATGAGTCATATTAAATTCAGGTCTCAATTATAATAAAAGATGAATAAAGTTTATTCTATGATTAAGTGAACTGTCATAAAATAGTTAATAAAATCAAAGTTCTTCTAAGTATTAGCCTTGAGGAAAAGAATAACTGGTTTTCACATCATTTTGGTTATAGTTTTTTCCATTTTTAGATATATGCTTACTTAAGGCACTTGACACAGTCATAGGTCAGAGTAAATATCTTCCCAAATACAATGAGTATAGTGGCTGAGCTCATTTTACATAAATTCACTATACAATAAGGTGGGTACACGAATATGGGATGTGAGGATAAGAAATAAAAGGGAATAATGTAGAGAATTTTTTTATCTCTTTCCTCAAAGGAATTTGGTTTTGGTACAACTTAGCCTCATTCTTAGAATGAAATACCCCGAAGATAAGGCACAATTCTGGACTCAAAATTATGAGAGCCAGGATGTTAACAGAAAGTGGCCATAACTTTAAACAATGATGGAATATCCTGTTCTTTTCATGTTCTATCAAGGTGAGTGTAAACTATAACCCAGCTATACTGCCTGTCCTAAGTCTACAATTATAATTCTACACTTTAGGGTAGGGTGTTTTGTAAGTTAACTCACCACCTCTTTAAATGACCCTTTTTTCCCCCTCTCTAACCTTTCTACAATAAGGAAAACAAGGTGGTTACAACAAAGAAATTCAGGGAAAGGGTCAGTAGTTATTCAGTGTCTTTTTAACTAAATATGCAAATATCAGGATTAGTCTTTCAAATTTTTAATTTCTCTAATTACCAAACAGATTTCAAATAAAAAAGAATGTTGAACAATCTTTTTGTAGAATCACAGAATTAGAGTGCTATCTTTTTTATTCATTTGTTTTAACTGAATCCATTTAGATAGTGTCTATCCAGATTTTAAAGCTATCATCTGAAGGAGATCCACAACTGTTCAGTGCTTTATTTCAAAGTTTAATGAAACAGCTAGGAAATTCTTCTTTAACCTCAAACCTAATTTTTCCACTACAAGTTAAGGCCTAATTCTCCTTCTCTCAGTGGAAATGAAGACTGACAGGTAGGTAATGTTTTCAGTAAAATCTGAGGATAATTTAGGACATATTAAAAATCAATCTATTTATCAGTTCAAATAAACAAATACTTATTATAATTATGTGCTGTGTCCATGGAGCTGGAGCAGAAAGGGAAATGATAGGAAATATTCCTTGATGCCAAGAAATGGGTACTCTAGTGGAGTGGGTTTTTTTAACCTTTTTTATTTTTTTGGTGGTGGTGGGGTGGTGGTGGTGGAATTGGGTTGGGAGTGATGTCATTGAGAATGTGATAAAAGCCATGCAACTACTTGCAGAAAAATGCAAATACATGCAAAATTTTACAAACAATTTCAGAAGATTCAACAACCACTAGAAACTTAAAAATGATTTAATATAAAGTTGAAAATCCATTAACATTGTATGATACAGGTGCATGGATGACTCTGGCGAACTAAAATAATCAATTCTGAAGTTTTAGCCACTAACTTAGTAAAATATTGTTTGAAAATTTCGGAAGTGTTAAAAAGTAACTTACTAGCAGTGAGGGATGGGGTGGCACTAGTGGTAAAGAACCTGCCTGACAAAGACAATGTAGGAGATGTAAGAGACACAGGTTCGATCCCTGGGTCAGGAAGATACCCTGGAGGAGGAAATGGCAACCCACTCAAGTATTCTTCCTGGAGAATTCCATGGACAGAGGAGCCTGGCAGGCTAAAGTTCACGGGGTTGCAAAGAGTCAGACATGACTGAAGTGACTTAGCATGCACGCACAGCAGTGAGTGGTATTCTCCAATAGTTTTACCCTGTTTTCTCTGTAAGACAGCTTCATACATAAAAAAGGAAGGTCAAAGCATTAATTTAGTACCCAACTTTTTTGATGAATGGCTGTTACATGTGTATGTCAGGGAATTTAAAATATACAGAAAGTTTATACAAATGTACATAAGATTTTCCTGTATTCAGTAGAAATGTTACCTACAGTGGAATAGCATCAGGTCTACTCCACCTAGAGTGTCTAGGCCTGCCTGTCTTTCCTCTTTCTGGCCTCTCCCCAAGGATGGACAGTAAAACACACAGTCAAGGAAACCCCTGGGAGCTCCCTGGGTGCCCAGTGTTAGGATTCCAGGCTTTCACTGCTGTGGCCCAGGTTCAACCCCTGGTCAGGGAACTGAGATCCTGCCAGTTGTGCAGCACAGCCAAAAACAAACAGACAAAAAACTGGAAACCCCACACACGACAGCTGGCTCTCACATACTTTCTTTCATTATTATTTGCTATTTCCTCTGCTTTACTTCCTCAGCACAGAACTGCATAGCCTAGTCATCATCTCTAAGCCAAAATCACTTCTTTTTCAAGAAAAATTAAGAATTAAACTAAAATGGTTTGGTAACTACATAAGAAAAGAGCTTTATCACCACAAATGTTGCTATTTCCCCTGATTGGAGATGAAGAGAACGACCTTATGAAATCCCATGCTGTGCTGGCTCTGCTTAGTTGTCAGCTGTGTCCGACTCTTTGCAACCCCATGGACTGTAGCCCGCCAGGCCCGTCTGTCCATGGCGATTCTCCAGGCAAGAACACTGGAGTGGGTTGCCATGCCCTCCTCCAGGAGATCTTCCCAACACAGGGATCAAACTCAGGTCTCCAGTATTGCAGGCAGATTCTCTACCATGTGAGCCACCAGGGAAGCCCAAGAATACTAGAGTGGGTAACCTGTCCCTTCTCCAGGGGATCTTCCTGACCCAGGAATCGAACTGGGATCTCCTGCCTTGCAGGAGGATTCTTTACCAGCTGAGCTACCAGCGCAGCCCTAGTAAGAGTGAGAGTGTTCTTCTCAAAACTCATCATTAACAGGTTATGGTCACAAACATGTCTGCTTTTCAAAATGATCTAGCAAGAATTACATGAACAGTTTCTCGGTTTCAATTCCAGAATGATATAGAAAGAGATATAGAAACAAATTAGTACTTTAAGTTTCCACCTTACCATCTACTCTTCTACTGGTCAACGAATTTCGTACTTAAGTAATCTAAACAAAAGTTCTTCCCAGAGATATCAGTTAACGGTGAATGAAATAAGTTTTGTTCTAACGTTTTCACTGTTGTAAAGTCGTGTGCATGCTTTTTCATGCTGACTTTGTGACACTATGGACTACAGCCTGCCAGGCTCCTCTGTCCATGGGGTTTTTTCCAGGCAAGAGTACTGGAGCAGGCTGCCATTTTTCACTCCAGGGGATCTTCCTGACTCAGGGATCAAACCCACATCTCCTGCTGCATCTCCTGTGCGTCCTGCATTGTCAGACAGATTCTCTACCACTGAGCCACCTGGGAAACCCACCATAAAGTTAAAGTTGTTTTAACAAACTTAACTATCTTCATATATATTGAAAATAATGTATTAACCAGGGTAGTAATAGTATATGCTTTTATTCTAAAAAGTGACCTTGTTTAGAGGACAAAATAATTCTTTAAAAAAACAAAAACAAAGATCCAATAAAAGAAAATGAAAAAACTTTGCCACTGTTTTAAAATGTAGCCAGGGATGAAACTTTGTGAGTATTCTGGGATCATGTAATAGAAAATATCTGCATGTGACAATATCATTTATGCTGTAAAATGTGTTCATATCCACTAAGTTATGGAATAGGATTTGCTAAAATTTAGATTTTTACATTTTAGACTTTAAAGCTTTTTAGTCAGCAATTCAATTTATAAAACAGATTTTAGAAATCCCTCTAGATACACAGAACTTCTGTCAAAAGCATTAAAAAAACCACTCAAAACTCCTTAAAATAACTACAGAAGAGAGTATCTTGTGTTCCTAGAGTTACTATTCATTTACTTGTTAATGTTTTAGACACTTTCTCTTTGTAGCAGTATTTTAAAACATAACCTGTGTTCATATCCTGAGGTCTACACAGTAAAATCTGAACACACAGTGATGACTTAAAATTCTCAATCAGTTTTTCAAGCACTGTTTCTAACCTGAGTGAGTTTGTCCAGCTCCCCCAGCCAGGCCCCAAACATTTTGTCTAGGTCCTGATCTTCCTTGTCACTGTCTTCTTCAGCACCATGGTCAATTTCTTCATCCGACAGCTGCTCCATCTGAAATACAGATATGTGTACAATGAACAATTATGCAATAAACTTGAAAAATCATGCAGTTTATGTTCTGATATATATTCAAACCTTGAAAACCAAAGACTATATCATAAAAGGAAACTGGAAGTCATAAATGGAGATAAGGTAGACAATGAATAGAAATGAGCAATTAAGTCTCAAATTTTTAGGAAAACAAATTATCAGATGATACTTTGGCTATCTGATGCGAAGAGCTGACTCATTTGAAAAGACCCTGATTCTGGGAAAGATTGAAGGCAGGAGGAGAAGGGGATGACAGAGGATGAGATGGTTGGATGGCATCACCGATTCAATGGACATGGGTTTGGGTGGACTCCAGGAGTTGGTGATGGACAGGAAGGCCTGGCGTGCTGCAGTTCATGGGGTTGCAAAGAGTCGGACACTACCAAGCGACTGAACTGAACTGAATCAGAAGTAATGATTTTTAAATCACAAACCACTCCCATTAATCAGAGGATATTATAGGAGTACAGGTCTCTCCACTAATACATCCTGCAACACACCAAATAGCACAGAAATAAGACTTTAATAAGTTATTATCTTACTTATTCTGTAAAAATCCATTCAAATAAGTATATATCTCATCCAAAAAGCATTTCAGAGAAAAGACAATGCAAAGTCTTGAATCTATTAATAGTTCAGTTTGTTGAATTTGTTCTTCCTTCTATCTTATCCTTCCTTTCTAACCATTTGTCTTTTACTTACTTACCTATCAATCCCTGAAAAATTCAAGGAACTAAAACTCAAATAGAAAACTTCAGAAAACTAGAATTGAAAACATTAAATTCATATACAAAACTTCTTACATGTGGTGACTTTTCATGTTTAAGTCCCCTGAAAGAAGAGATATTTTCTTTTTTCCCATTAATAAAATGGTATCTGACATGGAATTTGCAATTTTGTGAAGGGAGGAAATTTTTATTTTGTGAAGGGAGGAAAAGTTATATAAAACAAGATCAATGACTGACCAGATACTTAATATTCTTTAAGTAAGATTAATCTGTTTAATATAAAATATTTCATTATTAAAGGCTCTAAGAAATCTTCAGTAACACTTAAGCTTTGCTTAAATCAACATATCAAAATTTACTTGGCCACATTATCTTTTCCTTCTATTTGGAGTAATACCTATTAACTTTCCTAGGGACATAATGAATATCTTCACTGTACATGCCATACTCTTGACTCACATTTACGAAGACACACATTTTGTCCCAGTGGTTCTGGGCAATATTCAGAATACAACCTGTAAGCTACTCTGAACAATTTTTCAGAGTAAAGATATCCTTAATCTAGAATAAGAATTTGTATACATCTTATACTTCCAAAGCATCAATCAACAAAATTACCTCTGTGATCCTTATATGTAGTTATGAGATACATAAGGAATTTAACTATCTGATTAGGTGCTATGAAGTTAAACTTTAAACCTGATTTTATTATATAAAATTTTATAGAAATGGTCAAGCAAATACTGTTGCAAAATCAAAACTGATTAGCTCTAATGAGGTTGAAAATCAGATATCCCACTTAACCAATTAAGAAATTCTCATTTCTTAATTTCACTACTGTAACAATGTACATTTCAGGGCACTCTACCTTGACAAATGGAAAATGAATCAACTAATTTTCAAATGCATACTTGTGGCTCTTAAAGAGATTTGGTTTTTATAGTTCACTTGTATTAATACTATTTCTAAGGTTTTTTTAGTGTTGAATTATTTACAGATCAATCTCAATAGAAACCTGTTATTTATATTTCATTAAGTTAGCTACTTACGAAAAACAAAAAAGTACAAAGAAAAAACTCATCTGATCAGGCTGACTTAATTATTCAAATAATGCTAGTTTGAGAACAGCAAAGAGCAGTAATACTCGGTTTTCCTTATGAGGGCCAACAAGCAACAGAACTGGAAATGTAACAACTTCCTTTTCCTCCCTAATCGTCAAAACTAAACACACTGGAATAACCCAGAAGCAAAGGTATTCTAGGAGGAATTCTGCTTTAATATAATACTTATGCTTGCACCTCTCTCTGAGCACACACTGCAAACGTCCAAAAGGAAGATACTACACTGGAAAAATGAAACATTAGGAATATAATTTTATAGTGCAAACACAAAACAGTTCAAAATGAATATGAGTATTTTAAATTATCATGGATCCAAAGAGAATTACAGACTTCACACCAAAGTTTGGTGTGTTTTGTGAGTTTTTTCTTATTATTCAAACCCAGTAATTATTTGGATTTTAAATTTTTTCTTTAAATATTTTAATAGTTTTGTTTTTATCTAGACAACTATTGATTCAAGGAACATATGACTTAAGGAACAATGACAGAGTCATGAAATAAATGAAAAATTTGAAATAACGATTAGACTTTTACCATTTATGTAACTTTTGCCAATTTTGTCCTTTTCTTGAATTTCTGTCACCACATGGGTTATTTTATCTAAACGAACTTTACATTTTATTCAGAGACTTCTCCATAAAAATTTAGGTCCTACTACATTTCTTAAAGGATCTATACTCTAAAACAGCACTCTCCATTCCCTGGAAGGTGATGTTAATCTTTATTCTTCTACCCCCAAGACGGAATTGTTTCTGTTTACTATACACACCAAATCAGGAGCCCCCAGAAAGTTTACAGGCTCTGCACTGTCCAAAGTCAGCAAATCTGGTAAGGTGATTCATTCTTTGCGACGTATCAATCCTGTCTCCAATTAAATCACAATTCCAAACCTAAATTTTCCCAACATGATGCCCCTACTAGAAATGATGACAAAAGAAAATGCAAATTAAATTATACAACAGTCAACTCTCCCTCCAAAGAAAAAGGGAAATTAAAAAAAAAAAAAAACAGAAAAGAAAACTCATAAATTTTTGTTTTAAAAATGATTAGGATTTAAATGGATAGCTTCTAATGTGATGTTCTTCCTTAATGATGTGGAAATAGGCCCAAGGAAACTATAATACATACTAGAACAAATACTATTACTCTATTAAAATAATTAGGTACTTTAGGAGGAACATTAAAGTTTCACTCAAATTCCCTGCTCCATTACATCTGATGGAAACCATGTCCTTAAAGAACAAATGCACCCTGTCACAGAGGAAAAGGTTTACCCTTCCAAAGCGCGGCCGTCATGCACACAGAACACAACGCAAGCTGCTACAAGCCCAGGAGGCCCCGCGTGGTGCTGGCCTTCGGGGACCCACTGACCGCTCTCCCTATTCTCTCCTCCAGCATCACTGTCCTCCCGCCAGTGTTCCTTGGAGCAGGCTGGGGGAAGGAAAGGTGTGGATTCTGTTTTGAAGACAGACTGAGATGCCTGGGAAACATCCAACTGGCAAAAAAATTAGGAAATTAGGACTCAGGCATTACAAAGTTTAGTTAGCCTGAGTATTATTTCAAAACCATATGTCTGTTACAGAAAATAACAGGTTAAAGCTAATAATAATTTAACTATATTTTAAACTAGTTTATTTTATTCATGAAGTAAAAACAGGAATAAGGGGGAATGATCCATCATAGTTTATATGCTAGTTGGTTTCATTTCACAGGTAACAGTGAATAACTGAGCTTCCATTACTAAAGGTTAAAATGTGTAATACACATAGTAAGGCTCCACTAAACATAATGAATCTATCCATTTAGTATGCTTTAGTAGGAACAATATTATATTATTCCCACCAAGTTTTCCATGAAGTTAATTATTCAAGCATAATTTCCCTATTAACCTTACTCTTGGAAGACATTTTAGTTTACTATTCGATTTCCTCACTGCAAGATGGAATGATGATCTTTATCAAGAAGGTGGGCTTAGAATAGAGCTTCAGGATTTGAATAAACATATTCCAGGTAGGGCAAATTATAAAGAGCAAAGAAGAAGGTCTGTTTTCGTGAGACCGTCAAATAAAACAAGGGGGAAGAGTCCTGAGATTTAAAAGTCAAGGACTAAGGAAGGACCAGGTCATGCAGGACCTTGAAAGCCAAGCCTATTTTTTTTTTCTCCCTCCAGAAGGTAACTGGGAAGAACTAAACACAGACATGAAGGGGGAAAGGGGAGAAACAGTAGTCAGAGAACACGGTACCTGTATAAGAGTTATTAGAAAAGGGGAAGACCATTAGAAGGCCACTCTGGACATTAGAGAGAAGTTTAGAGACAATTTAGAGAGAAATTTAGAGTTTAAAGAGAAATTAGATAGGAATTAGTCTTGATAGGAAGTACAACTTACACCAGTCACATACTTGGAGTGGCACCCTGGCTATATACCATGTATTTTTCTTGCCACTCCAAGTATGTGACTTATATAAGTTGTACTTTCTCTCAAGACTAACTTCTATCTAATTTATCTTTAAATTCTAAACTCTAAATGGCTTAGCATTTCTGGAGCACAGGATGTGTGCTGTAGACCCATGGAAAAGGGGGCTAGAGAGCAGGTAGGGTGACATTATAAGCCATATCAAAGTTTGGACTTGATGCCACACAACAATGTTTTTCCAGTTGTGGTCTGCTGATGACCTGCATGAAAATTACCTAGGGTGCTTCTTCTTAAAATCAGATTTTAAATGGCCTGCCAAAGGTCTACTGACTAGTAATTTCCAAGAGTAGAACATTTTTAACAATTCCCTCAGGGCTTTGCTTATACCCACAAAAGTCTGAGAACTTCAAGAGTGTGTCATAACTACTGGGAGAACTTCCCAGACAAAAGTAATGCAGTTTTGCATGACCACAATTTGGTTAAAGGCAGAACAATCTAAATAAGTACTCCCTAAGACCACAAAGAAGCTAAGCAGCATCACAATCTAAGTAACGTAACACAACCCAGTTACTCCTCCTCCATGGAAGAAGCAAGTTCCATGTTTCTTCTCAGAATTATTTAGAATTTCAGTTCTTTATGTCCAGTTAGGTTTCAATAGCTCTAACACAAAAACAGTTTTGAAAACACCACCTATGCTG